ATAAAAAAGCGCTTTTGATCGCTACTAATCTTACTTCTATACTATATACAAATGTGGCGAAAGATAATCGATGACTATAGGTTGTACTATCTGAATGATTTGTTTGAAATGAAATTGATTTTTTCACGGTCTAAGTCGTATGTTGCAATTTTCTGTATTTGTATGGGCGCTAAGTTATTCTTTAACAATTTTCTCCTTATAGACGCAACAGATAGAAGTAAGATTAGTAGCAATCAAAAGCGCTTTTTTATTACATTAAGCCTATACCCACTTTAATTTTTCGCGAACACTCCCTTTAAGTCTCCCTTAAGGTTGTCAGATTTTAACAAAAGAGGAAGATTGCATTTTGAATGTTTTGCAAATCATTAAGCACACTTTGAACACTTTTCTAAAAAATATGTCTAAAGAATGATAAAATTAATTTATGTTTTATTTTGAGTTTTTACAATAATTTAAATTAATAATTGTAAAAATTATTTTATTTTAAATTATTTTATTTTATTTTATTTTTTTGTATCCTGTAATTTCTGTTTGATGCTAAGCAGAATAGTATTGTAGCCAAAGGAGTCCACCCTTTCTATAAATATAGGAGTCTACCCTTACTATAAATATAGGAGTCTACCCTTACTATAAATATAGGAGTCTACCCTTACTATAAATATAGGAGTCTACCCTTACTATAAATATAGGAGTCTACCCTTACTATAAATGATTTATACATACTCTGTCAACTGGTGTCCTCCACTTTAATATATGAAATGGTCAAAATACCTAACACAAATCCAAAATGAGATTTTACATTTACTCCAATTGACTTGAACATCTTGAAAACCAAATTAAATAGATAACGAAAAAAAAGTAAAACTAGACGAACGAGTGGAACCCATAAAATTGTGTAATAAGAAGACGATATTTAAGGAATTGCTAGTGTATTTGATGCAATTTTTAAGCGAATTGCGTGGCTTGAAACCAACTTATATGGGTCGTGTCTTCATATCGTGGGATCAGGAGCGTATAGTTGATATTTACAGTTTTATCTAGTTCATAATATTATATATCTCTATGGGCCATGCGGACAAGTACAGAAATTCCGAAAAATATCTTAATGCTTCATTAATTTCATTATTATATTAGAGTTGGTATTCTAATGATGCGAAAGGCTTTAACCCTATTCCTGCTGGTGGGGGGGGGGTCAATTTGACCCCCACCCTGTAGTTTTTTTTTACATAACTCAAAAAGTATTGTTCTGAGGCTGTTGAAATTTTCTGACTTTTCCTACATACCCAAAGCCCTCCCTTTAGGCCTAAAACCGGGCTTTAATACTAACTGCCTGAGTCCTCAGGCACACTGCCTGAATGAATGCTTTTTCCTGTAACAAACTAAATCTTTGTTTTGACCCACTTCACCTTGTCAGATTTTGATAAAATTTAGCTTTTTGGAAAGCCTTTGACATAAGGAAACGAATTGCACAAGTTTTGCAAAAAAGGTTGCAAACTTTTTGCAAACAACCTGTCAAAAGAAATTTGCACATTTTTAGTTTTTCTTGATTAAAATTCAGGTTATTTAAAATTTTGCAAAAATTTTTGCATATTTGAAATTGCATGGTCAAGGGCTTTTCAAAAATGTATAATTTTTCATTTTTTGGACAAATTTTGTTTGCAAACATTTTTACTATATAACTGGATTTTGCGATAAAAAATTCAATTTTTGCAAAGGAGATGAGTTTTTGCCACAAACTCTGATTTTCTAATCTCTATATCTTTGTAACCCAATGTCGTAGACCTTATATATTTCAAACTATTAATATTTATAGATAAAATAATCTAAGTTTGAAATATCAAAGATTTGCACTATTAGGTTGCAAAGATATTGGGATCAGAAGATTTGAGTTTTTGGCAAAAACTCAATTCCTTTGCAATTTTTTTGCAGATTCGAAAAGTAGAGCACAAGAGCTTTCCAATGATGTATCATTTGTCATATGTGGACATCAAACATGGGATTTAGAGGGGGGGGGGTCAAATTGCCCCCCCCCCAGCATATCCTGGTTTTTAAGTACCCCAGCAGAGATAGGGTTATAAGGGAACATGAGGTCTCTTAGAATTAAAAGCCAAGTGAGTCAGATATTTTCTCAAATTTTCTTTCGTGAAACGGACTAAATCATTTAACAAACCACCTGACCGAATATTGACATATGTATTTAGGCGAAGGATTTCATAATTATATGATTTTAATCTAAAGTTTTATTTAAATGTTTAAAGGTTTGAATTGCATTGTTTTGAAAAAAGGACCAAGGTACAGGGACATAAATGATATTCGTGGAAAAGTTGGAAGGGGGGGGGAGAAAGGTATTGTTCCAAGAGATTTGTTCCCATGTTTGAAAAGGTGGTTGGTTGACCTCTATAAAAGGAAGAGGACAGGCGGAAAAGAATTATAGGTTCCGTACACTGATTCTTATACATACCATCCCCCTTATATCTACCCGACATGATTTAACTCAAGGAAGATTTATAGCTGAAGATGTAGGAATGAGGTGAATGGGGGGGGGGGGCGGTTTCTTTTAATATCGTAGTGTATAACGAAACGACTGGAACAGATTTGTTTACAATATTATACGTTCACATATTCTTAAAAACAATAATTTTGTAGAAACTTATATTTTTCGAAGACAAATGAATGAAAAACTGGATCAGGGTTTAAACTGAAAGCAGGGTAGACAAATGAAGAAAGTTTTAAAGGAGTTTCTATTTAATAATCTTAATATAAAACCAATTCTAAGAATCCATCTTTACAAAACTTTAAGCTAGAAAAAGATATCGACAAAGAATAAGGGAAAGAAATGCTATTTGTTGAAGGCTGAATAAATAGGATGAAAATGAAAGATACAAATATATGCTTATCTATTTCCGTGGTTTATATGTATTGCTAGTTCAACTACATACAGCTAGACATAAGTAAAAACCATAAAATAGTAAAATTTATTGAAACATCTCTAATCACAGGAACTTATTATTGTCACATTTTCTATTTTTCTAACCTTCATTCACATCTTTGGAACCTGATGATATAAACGTTTAATACTTTAAACTATGAATTCTGTTATATCAACTAAAAATAAATATAAATATCAAACTTGAAAAGATTCAGAGTATTAGAATGGTAGTTTGGGGCGAGTATTCCAATATTTAATCTAATTGCGTAGTTTTGTTCGTAGACCTTTGATATTTCAGCTATCATCAAAGAGTCATTTTTTTTTAAATCAAAGATCAATACCTAATATAGCAAGATGCAGGAGTTGAGATAAGTGAGCAGATTTTTTGACTATATGTCAATTATACAAATGAATAACATTCTTTTATTCGAATTGAATTGAATAGATTATCAATTACTTGATAATCTATTTTTTATGTATTTACTGACTTGAAATGCAAAAATGTTAAATTAACGTTATTATTCTGTTTTAATGCTTTCTGACAAATGACTTTTAGTAGATTATAGTCTAGTACCCTGCTGTTGCAAGGGAAAATACATTTGATAATTTCAAAGAAGGTTTTCAAGAATTTTCTTCAGAAAATTTAGATTATTCAGAAATATTTCTATATGTACGCAGACCCAGTTTATACATTTTAAAGAATTAAGAATGACCCTACTGGAGGATAATTAGCTTAAAATTAGATTTTCTAATGTCTGTAAAGCCTGCTGAGAAAATTAAAAATGTCTTCATACACTGTTACTGCTTGAAAGAATTAAACATAAAATAGGAAAAATGAGAAATGGAAAAAGATTTTTTTGTGCTTTAAAATGAAAATGAGTGTTCTTTTAGGAAAAGACAATAAGTGTTAACCACAAACTCTGTTTTTTTTGCGACCCAATGTCGTAAAATTTACATTTTTCAACCTATGAATTTTGCCAGATGAAATAAGCTAAGTTTAAAAATCAATAGTTTACACCATCAGATTGCAAAGATATAGGGTTTAGAAAATTTGGGTTTATTACAAGAACTCAATTTCTTCCATGATTCTTTCCACAAAAAAGTTTGGGTCGTATAAACATGGATTGAAGTGAATTAAAAAAGGAAAATGACTTATAACAACTTCGCTATGGGGAACATCTATGCACATTTAGTCTAATGGAAATCGTCTCTCATCTCGTTATATATTGGAAGAATATTGTAGACATGAAGAAGATTAGGGTTAGAAGGGGATATATATTATCTTATGTTCTAAAAAAAGCACAAAATAAAACGAAAACATACAGAAGAATACACTTAATTATAATAACTTGATCATGCGTATGTTAGCTTATGGCTTGAGTTTACCAAACCGCCATAATGATTATGAAACATTATGTTTGGTATTATTCTAAAATGTGAGAAGTATACATTTTTCTCGCCCTGGAATCCGTTCACCTTATGAAAGGAGCGGGATTTAATAAGGTAAAATGTGAACAGATTTAAATGGTAAAATATAAATAATATAACCCAGTTTCTTGGTTTTAGATTTTCTATCCTGAGGTCAACTACCATCAGTATCATCTAATTTAAACAAGAGGCCTCGGAATGGAATAAGAACACCAACAAACCATCATTTGATTGCCTCCAGAGGTCATTCAAATTTTGAAGGCAAAGACTGCTAGAGCGTAGAACATACAGTAATAAAGAAGGACCCCTTGATTAAATCCTATATAGTGGGCCTTATACTAGAAAGGTCAAACTGGATATCAGATATCTGATTATGCTAAAATAATTGAATTAGTGTGAAAAATGTTGTATTTTCCCATATTTTCTGCGTTTCTGGAGGCCAAAATGTTCTTTTAGATCTGTGTGAATGACCACAATTGAAGGCTTTATGCACAGTTTTATTCTTTTATCTCAACTTACTAGTCAGATAATAATAAATAAAGCTCCATTTCTTTTTTAGACAAAATTATTTTTATTTTCGTAAACATAGTTAGTTTTACAACATTTTACATATATTATTACTAGTTATAAACGAAAAAGGCATTTATTTTTGCAATATAATTTGGCTATTCTTTCATAGCTAGAATTACAGTTAGTAATGTTCGAGATATGTAACAATATGATATATTATTATAGCATTCTTTGGTGAGGAATGCTATAATATTCTTAAAGCTCCATTTTGAGGTGAGAGGTTTCTACCTGAAAAAAATAGCTCACTTTTCAGAACCCCAACTGTTAAACCTAACATATGTTGGACTTTTCCCTTGACATGGTAACAACTAAATAATTCTAGTTCCAATAATACGCAATACATGACCAGCCATAAAAATTCACACTGAATTTTTGGTGCCCAAGGTCTCGTTTCTTTTAAAGATCCTAAATATATAATATACATTATTAAACTTAGGATAATCGATGTATGTCTTTTATTTTCGAAATTAGCCAACAACCCACCAAAGCCGGCTTCCCTATCTCCGCTGGGGTACTTGAAAACCAGGATACGCTGGGGGGGGGTCAATTTGACCCCCCCCTCTAAATCCCATGTTTTATGTCCAAATATGACAAATGATACATCATTAGAAAGCTCTTGTGCTCTACTTTTAGAATCTGCAAAAAAATTTGCAAATTTGCGAAAATTGAATTTTTTATCGCAAAATCCAGTTTTATAGTAAAAATGTTTGCAAAAAAAAATTTTTCCAAAAAATAAACAAATTATACATTTTTGAAAAGCCCTTGACCATGCCATTTCAAATATGCAAAAAATTTTGCAAAATTTCAAATAACCTGATTTTTAATCAAGAAAAACTAAAAATGTGCAAATTTCCTTTCACAGGTTGTTTGCAAAAAATTTGCAATTTTTTTCCGCAAAACTTGTGCAATCCGTTTCCTTATGTCATAGGCTTTCCAAAAAGCTAAATTTTATCAAAATCTGACAAGTGAAAGTGGGTCAAAACAAAGATTTAGTTTGCTACAGGCAAGAGCAGTCATTCAGGCAGTGTGCCTGAGGACTCAGGCAGTTAGTATTAAAGCCCGGTTTTAGGCCTAAAGGGAGGGCTTTGGGTATGTAAGAAAAGTCAGAAAATTTCAACAGCCTCAGACCAATACTTTTTGAGTTATGTAAAAAAAACTACAGGGGGGGGTCAAATTGACCCCCCCCCAGCGGGAATAGGGTTAAGGCTTGATAAAAGGTTACATTTTAAAAAATTTCAAAATCTTCCAGACAATTCTGACTGAAAGGTTTGATTCTTAAATATCATGTTACACTTTAATTTTTGGATAAATGCTGATTTAAATTTTAAGCCATTTCATAGAAAATTGAAGAATAAGTGAGTTAGAAATAGTTTAAAAACAGTTTGGCTAGTTTAATTTTATTTTTATGTATTAAAAAATGGCATTTGAGTCTATTTTCAGCTTGAAATAAGAAAATGAGGTACATCATAAAACTTTTTTTTTACTTATTTCTCCGATATTTAATCGTCCATTCAGTATTGTGTAAACCATTCTGATTTATTTACGGTGTTGTTTTTTAGATCTAGACACACCTTTGGGCGGTTGGCTCAATTCCTATATTGATTATGCCAATTATTCATATAATATCTACACAGGCTGTCCCAAAAAAACGGGAATAAAGGGTATACAATAATACAGGCTCTTTTAATGAATTTTAAAGATGGGCTGAAAGTCAACATTTTTGATGCCAATTACGTATATAAAAGAGATAATTGGGTTTACCGACTAGTTTAGAATAAGATTTTCAAGATTGAGGTAATATCTAAAATATACGTCATTTCTGATTTAATATTTTCAATCTCCATGCATTCTTAGGCGTTTAGAGCTAAAAATGACAATTCAACAGGCTCTTAAAGTTTCCAACTTGAGAGTTTAATTTAGGTGGGGAAAAATAGTCTTCCATAGCAAAAACTTCTGAATATTCATTTAAGCTTTTCGTAGAAGGTACATTGGATATGAATCATTTGATTTTCACCTTTGGCTAATTTTTAATGTAAGATCCAGGACCAACGGAGGTTTATTTGCTGCCAATATTGAACACTTTAATTATGACTGTTTTAAATATTAAATACAAAACTTATATTATACCTAATACCTTACTCAAGTTGGAAACCTTAGGACCCTAAAATTTGTATTCTAAATTATACAAGCCTAAAACTGGACGCGCGCATTGAATCTTATTTCTACACAAATATTACGAATTGCCTTAATCTTGAAAATCCGTTTTTAAATGAGACCCTCATTTTCATTATTTTTGTGACACACTGTATAAATATAAATAATATCTTATAAGAATGTTACATAAATATATGTATCATATGAGAATGCTTTTAGTTATTTACTGTACCAGTAAAATATGTCATCGATGAGGCCATCGCTTTGCAACCTTTTAGATATTGCATCTGAATCTGCACAATCGAACCCAAGCTAGAAAAATGTAGACATAGGTCGCATTAAAGAATAACTTGAACTTGTTGGACTAGCTAAACTTCTTTTTTGTGCAAACCTAATCTTCAACTTCTTGTTATTCATTAACTTACTTTTATGTGTTTTTTATTACAGCCATAATACATTGAGATAAATATTTGAATACAGAGACAGACAAGCCAAATATGTAGATGCTGTTTTTAAAACATTATACCTTGATAATTTTTATAAGAGCCATTGCTGAAGCAAACACAACACTTCGTTTCTTTCTTTTTCCAGCAGGCATAATATTTACCTTTAATTGATTGTTGATCATATAGAAATATGGTTTATTTAAAATAATTCATTGTCCAGTTGATTTACTTTCATAGATGTTCTGACGTTAAAAAGGCATAAAAATGTTAAAACTGGATTATAAGTTGTCAAAAAAAAATTTCAACTATGATAAAATGCAAACAAATCAAAAGCTTGAACATTTTGCGTTGTTTCCAATCTTTACCAATTTCAAATAAATTTAGGGTTTACTGTTTCTTGATCAGTATGTTAATCGAACTGCACAATACAGTACAGTACAGTACAGTACAGTACAGTTTACTGTTTCTTGATAAGTATGTTAATCGAACTAATTGGCTTCTTAATCTCTCACTATGCTGATAACTAAACCCTTCGAATCCTTTCATTGGTTTGATCACTTCAATTAGTTTCAGAAATATTCCATAGGTTCTGTTTGAACAATTTAAGCTGCAGGTTTTAATACAAAAAATAGCACTATCATTTTTCCAAGAGAGTAAGTTATTTGAATTTAACTCTCTGAAGAAGCCAGGGATATCATGTAGTTCTTTAAAGATTCTATTTGCTTACCTATGAAAGCTTGGTGCATTGACTTTTTATTTTTTAAGAGTAATCAAATTATATTGTTTTTTTTTCTAATTATTTGAATTTAGCTTGCGTTAAATCAGGCCAATATCCTATAACAAAACAGTCCTGACACCCTGACAAAAAGGATTTGAGTCTTTGCTGCAAAATCTAAATTTGTAATCCCTATTTCTTTGCAACCTGGTGGTGAAAATCTATGATATTTCAAACTTGGATTATATGATCTAACAGAATGCATAGTTTGAAATATCTAAAGTCTACAACATTGGGTTACAAAGGCATAGAGATTAGAAAATAAGAGTTTGTTAAAAAGACTCAATTCCTTTACCTCATTGTTAAGGTTATTTAACAATATCTTTGAGTTTGTAATAAAACTTGCCTGATTTGCATTATTGGTATTGAAGTTTGCAACGATGTTGCTAGAATCCACCGCGTTGATGTTCAGGTTGTTGTTGTTGTTGTTATTATTGTTAATGTTGTTGTTTACATTCAGGACCAAAGTTAAAACCCCGGCGGCAAATGCGGCAAAATCTAATGCTTAATAAAAGACTAGGTAAAGCACAAGAAATGCTTATATATTCAGTATTCAATTTTTAATATCACATATACCATTATTTGGATTCTTGATGAAATAAAATGAAAAAAGCATGTTTGCTAAATAAAATACCTTTTGATCCACTGATGATAGCTGTACTAGCTGCATTTGTACAAGATTCTACTTCATCCCTTCAAATAATTAAGATATTTGCTAAACACATGATGAATTGATTTTTAAGAACTCATTGGCTAGTATAGAAGAAAAACAACCAAAAAAAAGAGATTCAGTTTAATCACCAAAACTTAATTTTCATGATTTTACGACCCCAGCTCCTTTCCTACACTTAAAGGAATTGAGTCTTTGCCACAAATCCCAATTTTCCAATACCTATATCTTTAAAACCAGATTGAGTAATCCTTTGATATTTCAAACTTTGATTATTTGATCCATCAGAATTTATAGTTTGAAATATCTAGGGTTTACAACATTGGTTGTAGAGATAAAGGGATTTAAAAAAATCAGAGTTCATGGCAATGACTCAATTCCTTTGTTTGTTTGTAAAGAAATATTTATTCAAATATTTGCAGACATATTTATTTCATACTGATAAAGATAAAGCATGACACATTGTGTTTATAAATAAAATGTTATAAACTATTAGATCTTTTGTCTAATTAAATGATGTATGTAAAATTAAAATGTTTATTGAAAACTTATTACGGAATATATTGAAGCGTTATTAAATTTATTATTAAATTGCTGTAAGGGAGCTGCTCAACTGCTGGTATAGATGAATCCTAGAACCCGGAGCTTCTCTGGTTCAGGACTGTTGAAGGCTGCTGCTGTAGGGGAGCTGCTAGAAGCTGGTATAGATGAATCCGGAGCTTCTCTGGTTTAGGACTGTTGAAGGTTGCTGCTGTAGGGGAGCTGCTAGAAGCTGGTATAGATGAACTCTAAAGCCCGGAGCTTTCTGGTTCAGGACTATTGAAGGGTGTTGCTGAAGGAAGCTGCTAGAAGCTTTTTAAAATAGAATTCGGGATCTGGACAGCTGTTCAGTTGTTCAATGTAGGCTTCTAAGTGAAAGATGCCTTAGTCCGAAAACTGAGGTTTCTATCTAGACTTTAGAATATTAATAAAATCTCTTTTTTGGTAGTACAGAGTTGGTTTGGAACTCTGGAGCTATTCAAGGGTTGGCTACAACTGCTGGTAGCATATTTTAAAGATACTCCAAAGTTTTAAGGCATGGTTTTAACTTTGAACCTATAAGTAAAAAATGCACAAACAGAACACAGAATGTTCACAAAAAAATGCAAACATATAAATCATTTAACAATTTTATCATAAAATCACAAATTTCAATTTTAAAAGTCTTTTCATTCGTTTGTGGTTTTTACAAAAAAAAAGTTTTATTTTTTGTAAACACCCGGCAGAGTTCTTTCATATGGATGATTGATTCCAACCATGACTCAACATTTGTTAAGATTAATAGTTTAACATTTTTTGTTAAAATTGCGTACTTTGAACTCCCTCAGAAAACAGATTGTCGCTTTTTCGCTGACATAGACATATTTATTTTTACATTTGTGTTTCTAGCCGTTTTTAAATAATCTAATAACACAATTAAGACTATTGGGCTCATAATACAATACTTAACCCTATCCCTGCTGGGGTACTTGAAAACCAGGATATGCTGGGGGGGGGGTCAATTTGACCCCCTCCCCTCTAAATCCCATGTTTTATGTCCAAATATGACAAATGATACATCATTAGAAAGCTCTTGTGCTCTACTTTTAGAATATGCAAAAAAATTTGCAAATTTGCAAAAATTAAATTTTTTATCGCAAAATCCAGCTATATAGTAAAAATGTTTGCAAAAAAAATTTTGTCCAAAAAATGAAAAATTATACATTTTTGAAAAGCCCTCGACCATGCAATTTCAAATATGCAAAAATTTTTGCAAAATTTTAAAAACCTGATTTTTAATCAAGAAAAACTAAAAATGTGAAAATTTTCTTTGACAGGGTGTTTGCAAAAAATTTGCAATTTTTTTTTCGCAAAACTTGTGCAATCCGTTTCCTTATGGCATAGGCTTTCCAAAAAGCTAAATTTTATCAAAATCTGACAAGTGAAAGTGGGTCAAAACAAAGATTTAGTTTGTTACAGGCAAAAGCAGTACAACAGGAATAGGGTTAAAATAATTATTTAAAAATATAATTTTGGTTACAATAAAAATTGATGTTCTTTAGTTATATAAAATTTAACAAGGAATACAAATAACGACAAATAATAGTTTACCGTTGGTACATTACAGGAATATCTCTGATTTTTCTTATATTTTTATTCTTTAGAGCATGTGGTAGTTCTCCCTTTTCTACTCTAAAAAACTGTTTATTATTATTAAATATCAGATATATGATTGGGATTTAAAAAAAAGTCTAATACGGATCATGCTTTCTTTATTGATGTAAAAGAGTAAGTAGATAAACTACCTATTTAACTTTTAAGTATTTTAGTAGTCATTTATAACAATTTTTAAACTGGCAACAAAACTGATGCATTTAAAAATAAAATTGAATTAATATATTCCTAAGTAATGCCTCTTTGTCACAAACTCTGATTTTCTAATCCTTATATTTTTGCAGGCTGATGGATGTAACCCTTTAATATTTCAAACTTGGACTATTTTATCTAACAGAATGTATACTTTGAATGACATTTGGGATTAGAAAATTTGCATATGTGGCAAAGACTTGATTTCTTTGGTTGATCTGCTCATAGATGCCTGAGTTGATTCAATGGAAATGCTTTTAAAAAGATACGCAAACGTATAATTTGAAAACTCACTTTTTAGAGAAAAATTATTCATTAAGAAAAAAATTAAACTATACGTACATACTAGAATAAAGTGTTGAAAATTCTGAACTTGTTTTTACACCGACGGCTAAATCATTATCCCAAAACAATTGGTCCCTCACCAAAAGCTAAAATAAGGAACTGTTAGACTAATCAATAAAAGAATATTTAAATCTATATTTAAATATTTAAATAAGAATGCTTTTTTCACAAGATCCTTTAGAGTTTGTAAATAAATATTTATTTTGGTTTGATTTTGTCTGAATAAACATGCTTAATAAGTACTTACTTCTTTAAGTTGATTGTCCAGAGCATTTAGAAAATCCAGCTGAGAAATATGTTGACCAAGTGTAATTCTAAACTTAGGTTGAATAACTTATTTAAATCTCATTTTTGGATAAAGAATGCGTATATATAACTAATGTTTTTTTTCAATGATTTTCAAAAATGAAGAAAGAAGGTTTCGAAGAAAAAAAGACTATACCTTTAAGTCGACTCTCACTTAATTTTGTAGTTTAATTTTTTATTCTTATACTAGCTTGGTAACCCAGCGTTACCTGGAAACTAATCTTTTTCTATTAAAGTTAACTTAAAGTTAACTAAGAATTTTTAAACATTCCAGTGGTTCTCCCGAGTTCCCAAGATACAAATTTGAGTCAAATCGGTCAATGTTCATGATATGAGTAATGAATGATTGGACATACAAAAAACAAGCAAATAAACAGAGATTACAACTTTATAAATATAAAATCAATTTCAATGATTTACAAAGCAGATTATTTTCTTTTTTAAGTTTGCAGTAGTTCTTTTCTGATTTAAAAAATCTAAATTAGAAAAAAGTAATTATAATTCCAAGAAGATCATCATGACTTTGTTTGAACTACAGTGAAACCCATAAAACTTTGAAATCTTGTGTGCATTTGATGTTGTTAAAAAGCAAATCGTTTTTACCAGTATCTTGAAAATCAACTTATCAAGTAAAAGGGTCCTGTGTATACTGCACAATTGCTGTAACGTATTTCCATTGAGCTACAGTGAAACCCTTAATAACGAATACATCAAAAAGAATTCATCTAATGTCGTATTCTTCACTTTCCGATAATGGAATGTTGCAGATATTTAGTTTTTTAATTAAATGATTATATGGAACTCTTTAAAACTGTTCCCGCATATTCATGGCTATTTATTTATTTTCGCAAATACTGAAATTTACGTAATTCAGTATAAAACTCATTGAAAAATTGTCAAGACGACATTTGATAAATTCTTCCGATGTATTCGTTAGTAAGGGTTTCACTGTAATAATATGAGTTTAATAGTCATCTTCTGTTTTCAAAGTTTTCTGGTATCACTGAATGTAAAAATTGACTTAACGTTACCTGAAAAACCAGGAGAAAATCGAATAACAAATTAAATTCATTTCTTTAACTTTGGAATAATATTATATACAAAGACATCATTTAAATGTATGTTTACATCTAGCTCTCCACTGTACTGCTTGACACGGATTATATATAACAGTATATTTCTCTCTGGCCTCTACCTGTGTATATTAACTGTAACTTTCCAGAGTCGATGACAATAGAAAATTTGTAATAATTTAAACGTTCAGAATTTAGAATAAAGCGTATTTAGTATACTCTTCCTTAAAATATTAGAGAAGCTAGCGAGATGTGGAAAATATTGGGCTCGTTTTTGCAAACTTAAAGCGTCTTCACTTTTTCTTTTTATTGCGCAATTTAAAAACCATAAAATAATTTCTATGGCTAATTGCTTACTTTAAAAAACGATTTTTCGTATGATTCATTCCAACTTCCGATATTTCCCAAAAAACAGAAACGCTCGGCGAAGGATGGCAGTCTTAGTTTTTTCTTTTTGTAATTTTCAATCATTAAAATGTTTAAAGGACATTGTCGGAAATAAATTAATAATGAAAACACAAAGTTCTGAGCAATTGTGGAATGAAATTGAAATTGACCTTAAAGAAACTAAATCTGCAAAAATATTTAAACAAAGAGTAATCAATATTCATCTTGAGAATTATGAGAGGTATAAATGCGAAAAACCTAACTGTATATCGTGTGAATAACAGAAGGTTTGAGACATGAATTATCGGAGGATTTTAAGAAGGTGGATTAAAGAAATACATTGGTGAAAATAAATCTGGGGAATATAAAGACGACTTTATGACTCATATTTTTGATTAAATAGTTCAATGAACATAAAATACCGTAATTGAGCAGTGAACATGCAGATTGTCTAAATTTCGTCTTCAAATTCCGGAGTTTTATGTATACAAATTCAATGAATAATTCTGATAAATTCAGGTTTGTCGGTGCCACTGCCTAGCTAAGTATAACCATGTATGAAACCCAACTGCCAAGCCAACAAAGAATAGGAGAGTCTGCGTTTACAATACCAAAAAAAAGTTTGGATGAAGGCTCTTTAATTGGACCATATGAATTCCTCACGCTGAAAGATCCCAGAGTGTGAAAAAAACTATTACACTCTTAAAAAAATATTATGACGTTATATTTTTCAATAATTCATTTAAATCAGGTAGAGAGAGAATTCAATCTTGAATGAAAAATTAATGAGATAATTTATTACTGTTAAAAAGTACAAGGTTACAATTGCATAAAAGATATGAGACATTATAAGCACTTTATATACTTCAAACCAAAAGTAAATGTTCTAAGGGACTAACAGATGTAATTTCAAGTTGGCCATTAAAGTTCCTATCAACAACGGTACCATTTAAACATTTATCTGGGTAACAATAAGGAAGATATCGTGGTTATTTCATCTTAAAAAGTGATAAATTCTGTAAATTATGTTCATTGTTTTTCCACTTGTCACTGTTATGGACTATGGACAAAATAAATATTTCAAGATAGAAAAACTTAAGTGGATTCCCCTTGTTTTGTTTTTAATAACTATTTAATACATTACAAAAGACGACATTATGAAACGTCAACAGGGTAAATATATATTTTTCTGGAGAAGACGACATTAGTTACTATCTTTTGGTACCCGAGAAAATGCGTCAGAGGAACTGAGTTTTTCTCACAAACTCTACTTTTCTAATCTCTATATCTTTGCTACCCACTGTCGTAGACCTTTGATATTTCACACTATGAATTCTGTAAGACAAAATAATCTAAATTTGAAATATTAAAGGTTTACATCATCAGATTGTACGGATATAGGAATTAGACAATTTGAGTTTGTGAAAAAAAACCTCAGTTCCTTTGCGTCGATTTTCTGATGCGCTATCTTTAATTAGCAAAGTCTTTGGTTAGGAGGGTCCAAACTGCACAGTAAATTGTGATTGCTTATTTGTAATATCTCATGTTTTGTAGTTGAATAAAAATATGAATGAATAAATCATTAATAAAATACGAAAAAACGTAACTATTTAATATAACCATTCACAACTGTTTTCTTCCGTTATTTTTTTTTCAATCGTTAATTTGCATACACCTAGACTTAAATTTCATAAAGTAACCATAAGATAAATATATTTATCATTTTCCTGCATCACATTTACAGAAATTATTATCACGATCATTTAACAAATTACAATCACATATAACGCAAGTTGAAAAACTTTGAATAACAGAATCACAAAATGAATTAAAATCCTCTATTCTGGCTTTCTGAACGGCATCATTCCTATGTTTTGTAAATATAAAAGATCATAAAAAAAACTGAATAGGTTGAGTTTTTAGCAGAAATATATTATTCTTAATTCTGGGACCAGATTTTATGAACAGCAAGAATAGTTGAATTCCTTTGGACTAAGCCTTTTCATTAAATCTGGTTCCAGGGTTTGAAATGTTATTCATTTTTTTAATTGCTCACCTCGTTATAGTTTCTTCATCCAGTTGTAAGCTACACTCCTTACCAGATATTGTCTAAATAGCATCTTTAAACTTTAGTTAAGAAACATGATAACAAAAATTACAGATTGTTGGGTGATTCAAGAAGAACAGATCAATTGCCTGATTAAAGAAATTGATGCATTTAATAATTGGCTAATTTGAATTCAGTGTGTTTTTATGAATAACGTTTGTGTTGAATTGTATAATTAAGAAGTTGTTTTACAAACGTGCTATAAAATCAAAATTAGGCCTATGCTTATAGGATGATCAAATTGATTAATTTGCTGATTGACTGATAGAGAGTTTAACCCTATGCCGATTGGGACATTTTTGTCTAATATAGGTGGGGATTTTCAAAAAAAAATTTTTTTGCAAAATTTGTTCACAACTATGATGTTGAAAAAGTGAAGAAATTCTAATTTAAGCCATTTTTAAGTCATTCAGAAGAAACCTCGGGGGGGGGGGTTGAAAACTCCCCCCCCCATCGTGATAGGGTTATAAGATAAATGCAAATTGCTACGTTGTCGAAGAATGTTAGGTTATATTTACCAATCTAAGTTTAGTTTTCAACATCTCAGCTCGACTAGAAAAAAAAACTATAAATGTAAGAAAATTAAAAAGTGAGATTTAATCGAGGAAAGATTTTTAGTTGATGCACAAGGGTGTAATACATTTTAGTGAAGGAATTGGCTCTCTGTCAAAAATTCCTATACTTAGCAATCTGATGGTGCAGATATTTTATATTTTAAACATATATTATTTGATCTAACAGAATTATTAGTTTAAAATTTCTAAGGTCTACGGCATTGGACTGCAAAAATATATGGATTAAGAAATCATAGTTTGTGGCAAAGACTCAATTCCTTTGTGAATATGAACCTTCGTAATAAAAATGTTTGACTTTGTTTTGAGTTGATCATTACTTTTAACTTTTATTACAAATGTCTGTTTCACATTGAAAAGGTCCACATTGTCCCCGTGAAATATAGATGTATTTACACTGTTGAACAGTTGTTATCTTTAACCAATCAGAAGCGAACAGAAATATAAGTAGCCAATGAGGAAACAGTGTTAGCGAATTATAATTGATTGTTATGAAAATCGTCAAGTCACATAGATATATTTACTAATTCAACTTTCCACTTGATTACGCGCTTTACGACACTATATCTTTTATCATTAACTTTGCTCCATACTTATCTTTTTCTTTTGTTTCCTTTTTCCCTCTTACTCCCTACCTGTACTCTGCTTTGACCAAGGCAAACCTTTCCTCTAATTCCCTAAATCCATAGCTATAAAGATTTTCAAAAAAAATTTAATTTTTTGTTTGCAGAATAACATTGTTTATAAAGTAAAAAAAATCATTGGCAGTAAAAAGATTATTTTTTATATGAATAGATTGCATTGAAAAGCCATAACATTCTTAATTTCAAGTATATGTAAATGTTTTTTAAAGTCTATTCCTCAGTCCCTCTTCCTCTTTCCTTAGGTCCGTTAGGTCCCTGGTACTGAACATTGACATTAAAATGTTAGAAAGTTAACCCCTCATTTAATTTTAGAATTGAAGAAAGAAAGATAAAGTATAGATTATGTTCCACAAAATGTACTCTTGTTGTATATAATTAATTCTTTTAATTATTGATGCAATATGGAATAGCTATGGAGTCACAACTATATTTGACGTTTTCCAAGTCTTTATTGGAGTTGCTCGTTGCAAAGACCCGATTCCTTTGATGTGGAATTTAACCGGAAATTCCTAATTCTTTTTGTTTATTTTAAGTTTTTAAAAACAAACTTCCACAGTGATGCAGATTACGGATAAAAAATGAAGATATAAAGTGTGTATTGAAAACAATTTCCTGGGTAGCTGTTAAAAGTGCGTTTATCGACATGGTAAACATTAAAATAATATTTACTGTAAATAAATATGATTTTTTTTAATGCAGGGTTTCCCATTAAACTTGACATTTTAGAGACGACTTAAAGATCGACTTTAATAAGTAACTAAGTGCAAATTTGTAACAAAAAGATAAACGACTCATAAGCTTTTAGAATATGTAGTGGAACACCACTAAAAAAGCTATCATAAACTGTGTATTCTTTTTTTGTCCTTAGATAGAGATCGAAGGCTGTCTCTTAACGGTCATGTTTAGCGAGACGACCTGCTTCTGTTTTATAAACCTGGTTGTTTTAGAGATGTTTATTGAATTCTCAAATTCTATATCACTTATGTCGTCTTCCGTTCTCGAAGTCATTATATCGTCTTCACTATTTGAACTTTCTCCGTCGTTTTTACTTTGTGTGATTTCTATATGTTAAGACACTATCTTGAATGTTTTTAAATGAATATTATTAATTATTTAAGTTGACAGAATTTCTTTGCTATTCGTTTCTTAATTGCGTACGTGAGAATTAATTGATATTATCTAGCCTGTTGTATTCTCGATTACATTGCGCTGAGAATAATTATATCTAAAATCAAAAGTTTTTGAATAATTCTTGACTTTTAGTAATTTCTTACTGAATAAAAAATTTATTTAAAAAATCAAAACAATGATTAAAAGTACGGGGAATCAAGAAATTTTTTTTTAGAAATATGGAAATTTGAAATTATTCTGGAAATCTGAAATTTTTATGAAAATCTAGATATGTTATTAAAATCTTGGAACATTATGGAATATCATGGAAATCTGAAAACATTTTTAAAAAATCAAGAAATAATCTTGACATTTAAAAACATTCTGAAAATTTGGAAATACATTGAAAATCAAAACTATTACGAAACTAAAGAAGCTTTAATGGAAGCGATGAACTTACATCCCAAAAAACGAACAAAAAAGAATGCAAAAATTCCAAAAACTTTTCTTTCCTTCGTTCCAGTAGCTGGCAAAATTTGTGAATGAGCATTGAAACCTTAATAAATATCGTTACTATTTTTTAATCCTGAAAGCATTCGGGGAAACCACCTGACACTTTAAAAACGGTTTCATTTCTTAAAGACCCTCATTTTTTTACTTTTTCTAAATAAGTTTATATTTAAGAATTAACAATAATAGCAAAAAATAAGAAAAAAAATTAATGTCGTCTTCAAAATAGTCTTTGCAAATGATTTTTGACTTAGTATGGTAATGCCAAAAAGGAGAACTGAACTGTGAAGTGTAAACAAACAAAACATGCTCGATAAAATACTTTTCACCGCTGTTAACCTTTTCTTGTTGAAAACCAGAATAATTTTTTACCATTTTCATGAAATAAACTTTAGTAGAAGAGATTGTATTATTTTTTTTAATTAGGCATTTCAATGCTTTTTCTACGATACCGGGATACGGACTCGGTCACATTTATTTCTGAATACAGATCTTTTATGCGGGCCTCCAATACTATCTGTTCATTTTTAGACATGAAAAATAAAAAATAAATTTTAGCATAACAAAGCTTTAAAAAAAATGTATTTATATTATATACTATGTGCCCGACGTTGCCCGTGGAATAAAAATAAATTTATAATGTTGAAAAAAAAAAATTTTTTATTTTACCCAATGTTAACCTTGGGATGCCCCGGGGTTCTCTCAAAAAAACTCAGCCCATTCGGTCCAGCCGTTTGGCCGGCTATAGGCAACATATATACTAATGTCTTCTTGTGTTATTATATAGAGAAGATAGTTAAAAGGAATTTTTTGAGGGGGGGGGAATTTTGTCGGCAAGATTTTCGGGGAGATTTTGAGGGGGGGGGGAATTCTGTCGGCAAGATTTTCGGGGAGATTTTTGTCATTAAATTCTACCGCAGCACTACCCACAAAGACTTGAATGACATAAAGGCTTTTAAAATAACGATCTAAAGATTTATTTTTGTCATTCTCAATCCTTTGAAGGTCAGTTTTCATCTTACCTCTAAAAATGTGTAGTTGTAGGGTACTTTACCAGTAAACATGGATTGCTGAAAAAAAAGTGTTAAAATAAAGAATGCTCTTATATAATCTTTTTTACCTTAATTTCATAAACTTCCTCTGATACGCCCACTTCTGTCTCTGTAAAGCAAATTGTTTAACATAAAAACAATGTTCTATTATGTACTTACAAGAAATTCCAAAGAAAAATCAGAATTAAATTGCGTCTTTTAAATTGTCTTTGTTCCATGCGACATTCATTAGTAAATATGACTTTAAACTGGATGAATGCTAAAAACAATGACCATGGAACATGCCATATATAATAATGTATTCCCCATTTCTGGAATTTTAAAAATATGGTTTGTCCCATACGTCTGTTTAGAAATAGTTCAAAAACACAAAAAAATATAATGAAATATAGGGTTCTCTTAATCCTGTCAAGACCGAGGATTTTTGCGCCTCTACTCCATACCGCTATGCATTTTTATATACCAACCAGTATCTCTAAATAAAAAAAAACACCTCGTGTCCTTTTACTTAGATCTCAGTGTTTAAATGTTGCTTTTTGTCACCATTTTCTCATTAAACTCAGAAAAACGAAATTGGCCTTAAAGCTTTTTATGGACCCGATCGGTTCAGCCGTTTTGGCGTTTATTGGATACAAACATATAGACAAACACCCAAAACAAGCAAAGTATATATAGAAGAAATAAGTCTTCAAGTAAAATTACAGTAAACCATTCTTATGGTTTAGGATTATAATGTACCTTCATACATTCCATAAATTGACTTTGGATCACTTATAGGAAGCAGAGGGGGGGAGGTGTTCTCTACAGTTCCACGCTATCCATAGTCTATCTATCCAAGCTATCCTTTCCAGTCTATAGGAATTCAAATAATGTTAAAGAAGTTACCTTGAAGTGGTGGATTCGGATTTGAAGGAGCCTTACTAATGTTAGGTTGCTTAATCTCTACAATCAATATTGTCAGTGGAAAAATAAAATAATTAACATCAAAAGTAGCAATGTAGCAAAGCAAAACATATCCAGATACTGAAAAACCTGGTGTTCTAGCCCTTTTATATTTTAAACAACAAATTATGCTGGATCTAATAGTCGATGATTGAAATACCATCAGGTTGCAAAGATATAAAGATAAATTAGAGTGTGAGCAAAGTGATTATTTCTTTTGTTTATACGGCTTTGTTTTATTTGATCGGAGCTGAAAACTTTAGAATGAGATATCCTTAATCACGGTGGCTTAAACTGATTATCCAATGTACACTCTTTTGATTTTATTCTTAATCCTCTTTTTTGGATATCCCTACTGTTTCAAACTTACGTCTGATAACAATTACAGATACAATGTTATATAGATTGAACTAATATCCGATGGAATTAAAGTCAGCTGTCTGTTCATAAGCCGGCTTTTAGAGCATTTAAGCAAATATAGATTTAATCATGTTAATATGACCCTATTAAAAAATATGCTTTATCACATTTTAGGACTATCATCATTTTAAACAAGTATTAACAAACAATAGTCCAAAACTTATATTTATTTAATCGATGTTTAGTTCAATTGATATGACACCAGAAAAAAACGGTTTTTCAAAAGTTAAAGAGTACATCTTAACATGATACGCTGATTAGTTGAATTTTATACTTCTTTCTTGGATATCGAATGCGTATTAAAATAATCTCGGGTTTAGTAAAACCAGGAGTTTAAGCATTAATCATAATAAAGTTTTCAGCTCTGAATACTCTTTTGTGTGATTCATGTAAACGACTGACTTAGTTTTATAGAAGATGATTCCTCTACCTTATCCTTCACATTACACATGTTTAACCACAAACTAAAACATTATTTCAAGGTTGTCTTTTTACAAAAAATTAGATCAATATTTTCCTGATGCCCTACATTTCTTTGCTGAAGGTTTTTTGTTTTTAAAACAACTTGTAGAAGAACCTAAATATATTTGGTTTATTTTTTTTAACTTGGATCAATCATTGTAATAATAAACACTAATGATTGTTTATTAATTGATATAAGATTTATTTTATCCAAAATATTAAAATAATGGATTTTTTAAAGAAATGAATAAATACGGTATATACAGAGGATTTAAAAAAAAAACTTTGTGGTAAAAATATATAGAATTTTTCGACCATTTAAAAGCTTCATATTTCAGTTCCTTTAAAGGGAGTGTTCGCGAAAAATGAAAGGGGGTATAGGCTTAATGCGATAAAAAAGCACTTTTGATCGCTACTAATCTTACTTCTTTCTGTTGCGTCTATAAGGAGAAAATTGTTAAAGACGTCTCATACCGAATAACATGGCGTCCATACAAATTGAGAAAATTGCAACATACGACTTAGACCGTAAAAAATCAATTTAATTTCAAACAAATCATTCAGATATTACAACCTATAGTCATCGATTATCTTTCGCCATATTTATATATAGTTGATTTTTCATAATATGTTTTAATTGTTATGATCTGAGAGTTACTTATAAAAACATTTATTCCTGTTTCGAGGATTTTTGGTAATGAAGACGACATTTTCACATTTTCCAGGAATTTTCGAAAACAAGTTGTATTCTAAATATTATTTTAAAAAAACAAAATCAAAACTAGTATGAAATATCAAATATATACAAATGTGGCGAAAGATAATCGATGACTATAGGTTGTAATATCTGAATGATTTGTTTGAAATTAAATTGATTTTTTGCAGTCTAAGTAGTATGTTGCAATTTTCTGAATTTGTATGGGCGCTAAGCTATTCGGTATGAGACATCTTTAAAAATTTTCTCCTTATCGACGCATCAGATAGAAGTAAGATTAGTAGCGATCAAAAGCGCTTTTTTATCGCATTAAGTCAATACCCCCTTTCATTTTTCGGGAACACTCACTTTAAAGTATTTTTTTTTCTTTATAGGTCTCATACTGTTTTACAACCACTTTTTTGAGTAAAAGTCGAAAATGGATTTCCTGGACGTTTTAGATTTTTGATTTTTACTTTTATTTTCATTTGCGTATAAAGTATGACATAAAAACAAATATGGGCACCTCCATACTTAATTAGCCCAGTCAACATCAATTTTTTGTTTGAAATTTAAAAAAAATTAATCGTTACATTCCACAGCTCGCTTTTTCATAAATAAAATTAAAACCTTTTTAATTTTTATCTTTTTCTAAAAGAAGCATGGGGCCTAGAAAAAAAACATTAGACTTTGAAATAACTGAAAATTATAAATTTCTAATGATTTAAAAAATTGAACAATATAACCTTGCAATGTTATACTAGAGTGTTTTGAAAATTAAATCCTATTGATTCTATTCTAGTTGCTGATTAAATAAATGGTAGACAGATTTTTTTTTTTGGGAGGGGGGGGGGTTGGAATGGAAACTTGTTAGAAATGGTCTTAGAAATATGATGAGAGGTTGCGCGAGTTTAAAAGTTTACGACTTTTTTATATTGTTTCCCGCCTTTACATAAAAATGTAATTTGTTTACTCTAAGATAGTTCTAATTAAGAATACTGCTATTATTGCCGATCATTAAAATCACATTATAATCCCATTGAAAGGGACTGTAAAGGATAAATGAAAGGTGGTATAGGCTGAAACCTGAAAATCTCAGGCGTTGAAAGATACATATTCAACATCTATCTGATGTTCCTATATCGAGAAATTGATGTAAAACTGTGTAAAAATTATACGAAAATCTCTATGTAAGAAATTTTGTATAAAAGATCATATTCAGCAAATATGCAAACAATCTGAAAACGATTATATCCCACAGATTTCTGACAGTCTCAGGTTTGCTCCCATTATAATTTTTTAATTTTCATTTTGCATTTTTAATAGATATAGTTAATAATATTATTTAAAAGTCCGTATTATGTCACAAAAACTTCCACCAATGAGAGTGAATTATACTGGTCACGGACGGAAATCACATGATCAGTATACTGCACTGCATTGGATGAAGTTCTGGTGACGTAATATGGACTATGCGGACTATATGTAATAATATTATCAAATATATCTATTAAAAATGCTAAATAACAATTACAAAATTTGAAATAGGAGCAAACCCAAGATTCTCAGGCTCCTGTGGGATACAATCGTTTTCAGATTGGTTGCGTATTTGCTAAATATGATCTGTGTAAACCTACTACTTTTATATATATATATATAAATTTTCGTACAATTTTGACACAATTTTATATCAATTTCTTGAGACAATTATCACGGAATTGCGCGGAATCAAATTTCCTTGCGCGATAACGTTATACGTGCATTACAAATATCTTGTTTCAGTGAGTAGCTTAAGTAAAATAATAAAGATTTATTAATATCCATATAAACCTAAATTATACTCTTGGGATCCAAGTTTCTGTGAGCTTTAATAGTTTTCTAAGTAATTACTATTATTTTTCTTTTTTCTTTTCTGAAGGTTAACTTGTTAATAATAAACAGACATAATCATTTCAATTAAGTATGTTATGACAATTTATATTAATCTGTTGAGATGTTTTAATCAAATATTAATCATACTTGTTAAATCAATAAAACGGGTTATAGTTATTGTTATAGTTATAGAAAGAAGTTTTTTTTGTTAATATCTAATTTTTCCATTTTAATATGTTTTTAATGAGATGAAACCAAACAATAACTTTTACCTTTTTAATACACTGTTCCCTCATGCTACATTGATTTTTATCCCACCAAAAATGCATTCAAGTTTAAAATAACACTGAATTCTAAAAAATCCTGCCTGGTTTTGAAAGGAACACATCAAGTTCTCGATTCCAGTTAGGAAATCGTCTACTTGGCTCCATTCAAGATTCTCTCTAAAAATTTTTGCTTGATAGAAATTTTGGTTTGAAATTTAAAAATAAAAAATGCAACTTTATTCAATCAAATTAATCATTTCAATTTTGAAAATTTTTATTTAGTTGAAAATGGTTATTTTATTGCATATGCATGCATTTTATCAATCACGGTAATGTCATAAACAAAGTATCTGGTTTCTCAAAAATAACGTAAAGGAATGCAGATCCGAAAACAATTATTTCGTTTTTTGGATTGTTAACCCTATCCCTGCTGGGGTACTTGAAAACCAGGATACGCTGGGGGGGGGTCAATTTGACCCCCCCCCCCTCTAAATCCCATGTTTTATGTCCAAATATGACAAATGATACATCATTAGAAAGCTCTTGTGCTCTACTTTTAGAATCTGCAAAAAAAATTGCAAATTTGCGAAAATTGAATTTTTTATCGCAAAATCCAGTTTTATAGTAAAAATGTTTGCAAAAAAAAATTTGTCCAAAAAATGAAAAATTATACATTTTTGAAAAGCCCTTGACCATGCCATTTCAAATATGCAAAAATTTTTGCAAAATTTTAAATAACTTGATTTTTAATCAAGAAAAACTAAAAATGTGCAAATTTCCTTTGACAGGTTTTTTGCAAAAAATTTGCAATTTTTTTCCGCAAAACTTGTGCAATCCGTTTCCTTATGTCATAGGCTTTCCAAAAAGCTAAATTTTATCAAAATCTGACAAGTGTAAGTGGGTCAAAACAAAGATTTAGTTTGTTACAGGCAAAAGCAGTCATTCAGGCAGTGTGCCTGAGGACTCAGGCAGTTAGTATTAAAGCCCGGTTTTAGGCCTAAAGGGAGGGCTTTGGGTATGTAAAAAAAGTCAGAAAATTTCAACAGCCTCAGACCAATACTTTTTGAGTTATGTAAAAAAAACTACGGGGGGGGCAAATTTGACCCCCCCCCCCAGCAGGAATAGGGTTAAAACTAAAACTAAACTAAATCCAATTTTTAATTTTTGACCCGAAAAACAGCAAACGCTACCTTCAGCAAATAAAAAATTGTCAATGAAATACATTATGGTAAACAAATTCAGGCATAATTATCATATTAAACTAAACTAATTCAGTTTGAGTTATTTCTTATTTTGATTTAATACTTACTTTGTGTTATTACTCAAACTGATAAAATGAATTTATTATTAAGTTTAAACTTTCACTTTAAAATGCATTTATATGAAAATAAAATAACAATTATATTTTCAGTCGAAATTACAACAATAAAATATCTGCACTGTTATTTAACTTCAAACTAAATACAACTGTCGGCATTCGTCATGATTTAGGAAAAATGCTAAACTAACTTTTACTTTTAAATATCAAATGTCAAAAGCTTTTCGTGTTCATGTTTTCTTTTTTCTTCATTTTGTAAACTTAAAAGTTTAAACTCCAGTCCATAATACAGTTTTTAAAAATCATCATCAAATTGGAGTCGCGTAAAAATTCTAATTCATCGTAAACCCCTGACTTCCATATTCTCCATATTTAATGAGAAAACACTCCTAATCATATAAGACCAAGTATAATCATTGAAGAGTGAAGACCACTTCTAATCATAAGAGACCATTCAGATTCTTTAGAAACCACTCATATAATCATCAGAGACCACTCATGTTTAACAGAAGACCACTCAAATCACAAACAACCACTCATTATCATTAGATACAACTCCATACCATTGGAGCCACTCATCAGCATTATAAACCAATCAAAATTCATAATTTAATGGTTACCACTCACAATGCAATGGAGAGCTTTCATGATTCATTGAGCATTGGAGACCACTCATAGTTCATCTGATACAACCCACTCCACCAATATCTTATCATATCTAACTGTATAGACCGCATTAGCACTTCGTAAACACCGATATTACATCATTAATTCATCAAAGGTCCTGAAATTGAAATGAGAGGTGTCCAGTAAATCAAGTGATGGGATGATATGAGTGACTCTCTTAAAAAAGGAAAAAACAAGGACAAGGGGTCTCTGACGATTTCAACTGCAGACTCAACCGCCGTAAATTACGTTTAAAATTAGCTTTTCCTAGTATTCCATTTTTTGGTATAAACAATATCCAACAGAAAGTATGAAATGGAACTGGTAGATCGGCTGTATAATTAACACTAAAGCAAGGCACAAGGTGGGGAAACCTTTTATAACTTAAATTCACAATAATAAAATCAAATTATAAGAGGAAGGGGGAGAAGTAAAAGTTCAGCTGTGGGGGAATCCTAAGGCTTTAATCCGTTTCTGATAATCTGACAATCTAAGAAATTTTTTAAGTCCAAAGCTAAATTTATTGTATCTCTAAAGATGTGCACATACTTATCTAAAACTAGAAAAAGACCTTTAAGTTGTAATGAATTAGATTATGTCTTTTTAAGTTTTACCTACATCCTTCTTTATAATTCTTTTCCTTTTTGAATTCCAATAAACATACGAATCAAGGAATCTTTTCTAACTTATTTATTTTTCTTAAGTTCTAATCAATCAGAGAGCAGTTCTTTAGTTTTTATATGTTATGTTTTCACACAAATAATTTCATAACTGAATAGTGATTTCCAACAGGTTTATAAAAATCCAAAGTGCAGATGATGCTTCATACAAAGATGCTCAAACCTCAATTATGCTGCATGCAGTATCGGATAAGAAGAAAAACATTTTGCGGATTTTTAAAAAAAAATTCGCGGATTTTCAAGAATTTAAATTTTTTACAAAATTAAAAACCTTTGAATTTTTATCATTCATAAACCTTCCCTGTGGTAAAAAATTTGGGCCCGATCGGTTCAGCCGTTTTGACGTTTATTGAACACAAACAGACAGACAAACACTCAAACAGACAGACAAGCCAAATTTATATATAGATGTACTTCAGAAAACAATTATTTGGCCGCTGGGTGTCATACAAGTATATTTCTTAAAATATCGAGAGACACTTAGCGGCCAAATAATAGCGCTCAGTTGCCATCTTCAGTAAAAATTACGCTTACAGTCACTTAAAATTGTGATATTTTTATTAAATTTTTGGCATAATTTTCGCATCTACCTGGATTTCTTTATAAATATTTCAATTTATTTAGATAAATTTTGGAAATTGAAGTAGAGCAAAAATCTTTCAAAGACGTCCTGGCATGGGATGTTTACTTATATTACCAACACAATATGATTAATTGGTTCAGGTTATGATAGACACGTTTTAAAATCTTAAATTAAATCTGCACATTCCTCTAAAATAAGCATTTATGGGTGCGGACAGAAAGCAATACGAGTCACGGTGAGGTATTTTAGGGGTCATGGTTTTTGTCACAAAACTCTTCTTAAAATGCATTTGGCTTGTGTTTCATGATGAGAATGAACAAAATGAATATACTCTGATAATCTTTTCATCTACAAACATTGTATCAATTGTAGCTAGCATTGATTTATAATGATTTCAATTTATAATTACTTTTCCCGTTCATATATTTATCCTTGAATGGATCCTGTAATCCCGCAATATATTTAGATGTCGTCTTTGTTACAGTGAGCTATTTCGCAAGAGAAACATATATTTTATAACAAAAGTACAAGAAAACACATCGGTTTTGGGATAGTCTAAATATATAAATAGATTCTAGAAGCCATTTAGAAAATATTTAGGGTCGTCGGCAGCATGCCAAAAACTTGATTTAGTCAGTGTATGGCGTGTTGAAAAATCCTATTTTAGAGTTTTCAATGAAATAGTGGGTTTTCGGTCAAAATACATTTAAACAACATAGGGACTTCTCTAAAATAAATAAGAGGTTTAAGGAATAAACTCATTTTGGCGGACCCCCCCCCCCTCCTAATATCCCACTGTGCGGGATAAGCGCCAAGCCACAAATCCATGTTTGCGATTTAATTGCGGAAAGGAAGACCTACGGGTGCGGGCGTGCCTTCCCCCTCTCTTGCTATACTATTGTACTTAGTAAAATAAGAAATTCCCGTTTACAAACACATTACAGTTGTTCATCTTCACTGTTAATCTTGTAGAAATGTTGCATAACATCATACAACGTTTTCCAGAAAAATGTTAGTCTTTTTATCGTCTTTTGACCAACATTATTGACCAATGAATTTCCAAACAGTGGGACGTTAAGGTACTTGACGTCCTTTGGTACAATAAATAAAACAACTACCCGCTCTGCGAAGTTTTAGTAAAAAAATCGAGATGCGAGACGATACAATTGTTTACAACTACTTTTTGGGAAATTAAAATTTTTACCTAACCACGGGTTCCCTCGCTGAGTTGCTACGCTCTTGATGTGTGTAGGTAAAATAATCTTTGAATCCTTTGGTAAAGTAAAATTTCCTTAATTCCCTGTAAAAAAGTTGTAAATAATTATAACATGTACATTAACTATACCCTAGGCAGACAAACCTTTGTTATGGCCATTGAAATATATGAATTGAGTAAATACGTCCTATTAACCATGATTATAACCTTTACTGCATAGTTGCGTAATAGTATTTCTCTTAGAACTCACAATAAGTATTACGTGTTTTGTTTAGTCATTTAGATTAGTTAATATACATGTCCATGAGTAATGGAGGATAATAACAATACTAAAATATATTTTAGAATGCATCAGAATGATTTATAAACGAGTGTATATTCTTTCTTATGAAATCATTAGAACAAATTGAATTTTCAACAAAGCTAATTGTGGTTTAATTTCAGACGACGACTTGCATGGATTCGATAAAAACGCGGGAGTTTAAATCACGAACACTGGTTAATGCAGGGGATATAAGTTCCAAAACTAACACTTGGCCCATTTCTAACAGTGTTAGAAATGGGCCAAATTTGCAAAGTTATCTTTTTCAAGAGTATACATCTTTAAATCCAAGCAGAGTAGAACAAAATTACGGCATATATTTATTGAAAATGACCAAACCTATATATTGAAGCAAGAACTGTCAATTCAAAACTAAGAATTAGATATGAGAATTATTTTTTGATGATACTAAATCTCATTTTCCAATATATCCCTATTTTAAACAATTACTGGATTTCAGCTAATGTCATTGATAATGTTCAAGCATTTACGCACTTATGGATCAAAACCAATAAGGTAAATATAAACAAAATATAGAAAATAAAACGAAATTGTTATAATTTGAAAATTGAGAAATTTAAATATTACTATTCTTTTGTTATTTTGTTCAGACATTATAGATTTAACTTGAAATGCGGGAATGTGGAAACTTAGATTCTAGAAATAATTCAGAAGTTAATTTAGTCTTCATAAGATGATTTTTGTTTTCAGTGATTTATTTTGTAAGTTATGAAAGTGAGTTCTGACATTGTTTTGAAAACGTCATACGTTTTAATTTTAAAAAGAACTCCTATTATGATTTTGATTTTAAAAAAGTTTAAAATTGGGAATTATTGTTAAATAGAATGTTGGTTATAGTTTTTATTATTGACTTTTACTCTGGATATGGGCTGGGATCCCAAAAACCCAGTCTTTCAATTTGTGCCCATTTCTAACACTCAGTGTTAGAAATGGACCAAGTGTTAGTTTTGGAACTAATGTCCCCTTGTAATGGCGGGAAATTGCTGGAGTCAGGACATTCGCCACTTTATTAGTCTGTAAGAGTAAAATATTATTTACAAAATAATTTTATTTTTAAAAAAATTTGTCTGTAGTTTTTCTTGTTTGTTTGTAATAGTTATTTTCTTATATTGTTTAACTGGATTGTTCTTTGTTTTCTCCCTCCCAGATTTAAATTGATGACTGGTTGTAAGAGGGTAACAGGACGATGGAGTACATAATTCTTAGGTTTAAACAAATGGAGACGGAACTCATAATTTACAAATGCCAGGAAATCCCCAAGTATATATTAAGCCAGAGAAAATTTTCAGTGCATGAATGTTTTGTGAAGTACAGGGTTACCCACAAAGGATGAGACTTCAGAGACGATTGTACGAAATTTGTTTAGTCCGTTTTCTTGTACTCAGCGTTCATTGCAGCCTAATACTGGCGTATTTCTGTGCTTAATCATTTCGTAAACCATTAACGACTCAATTGAATGCAGAAACCAAAAATCAAGCTTCAAAACGTCATATTTTTAGAGTTTCGAGTCTCATTATTTTTGGGTAACCCTGTACTTGATTTTGTGCTTTTTTACGCCTAAAAGCGACCTTTCGCGACAACTCGTAGCTTACAATAAAAGCAAAAATTAAAGTATTTTATAAAAACTGCTATGTTTTTTTTAATTAATGCTCATTAAAGTATTTTATAAACACTGCTATGTTTTTTTTTAGTTAATGCTCATTTGCCTTTGGCTAAAGATTTTTCATGATGCACCTGTAAAATGATATAAAATGTGTCTATCTTTATTTAAAGCTGCAATAGTTCTGCATGTATTTAGGAATTTGTGAAATTTAGAAAAAACAGTTTTGATCTCAATAAAAGTTTTAAAAGGCAGCTGCATTCCTACAACCTAGGAGAGCTGAGCTCAGCGAAGAAAGCTCTCTGCACTAATTGCAGTGAACGCATAGGAGGGAGGGAAGGCCAAGTGGCTCTGAGCCCTGTGCTCAATTGGCTATCCTCGTTTCTTAATTGTACTTCGGTACCAACGGTCGGGGTACTAATACTAAACCGGTTTTATATTTACTCCACTTAGAGATCAGAGTCCTTTCTGGAAGGGTCCTGTTCCAGCTCCACAGCAAATAAAAAGGGGCAACTCCGGATTCATGCACGCAGAGGTACACACTAAATGCAATTTTTCCTAAGGATTTTTACTTGACTGGGAAGCAGTAAAACACATGGACAAATGGAGTGTTTTTAATGAAACATTCTTGATACGCCACTCCTACAAACCCTTATCCTCATTTCCACTCTCCTCTTCCTACCATCTAACCTTCTCACAAGCAGCAAAAGAGACTCTACAATCCTACAACAAAATTACCTCTGAGCGGGTCACCTGATTATCCTTTGTTGGAATAGCAAACCTCCTTGTATATAGGGTTGTTAATCGTTTATGAAAACGATCGTTAAACGATCGTTTTTTGTTTCGTTTTTCAATTGTTTTCAAAAACGAACGTTTCGTTTTTGGAAAAAAACGATAGTTTTTAAACGCAACCCACTCGTTTTAAACTTTTAGAAAACTAATAACGATCGTTTTATAAAAAACGATCTGTGACCATTTTTTATACGATTTTTTAAAAAACGATCGCTTTTGAAAAAAAAATTATTGACATTTATGTTAACAATCGTTAACAAAGGGTAGTCATTTACGATCTTTAACGAAGTGTTGTCGTTAACGATCTTTAACGAAACGACGAAATTTATAAAAACGGTCGCTTTTGGTAAAACAATCGTTTTTGAAAAAAATGACATGCAACTTAATTGAATGTTGTCTTACATGAAGTTATAAAGTTGTGGGGGAGCTAAAACTTCTTGATATTTTCTTAAAAACTACTCAATGATAAATACAGATGCCCTTCATGTCCGTTTTTCTCTCTCCGTTAACGATCGTTTGAAAAACGACCATTTTTAAAAAACGAACTTTATAAAAAACGATCGTGTTTTAAAACGATTGTTTTGTTTTTTTATTTTTCATCGTCGTTTTCATAACGCAACCATCGTTTTTCAAAAAAATGAAAACGTTAACATCCCTACTTGTATAGGAAAGTAAAAATGTGCGGTTCATAGCAGTGAAGCTATTGCTCCATCGCTGCAAATAGAAACTAACTTGAAGTGCTAGGAATGGTGACCTAGAACATGCAAGTAGATAAAATGTGCAGAGTCTGCAATTACGATTAAGCAAAACAAAACCAAAAAGGGAGAAGGAGACATCTTATAATGGCGCAAAGACAGTGACTCTTTAACATTCTTTCAAAACCAGCACCATAAATGGCCGGGCAAAGGAAAGCAAGAAAAAGAGAGTTAAACTGCAGACGTGCAGATGGAGAAAGAAGAAAAAGATGAACATTTGAAATTGTCAACTATGCCTCATACCAAAAATTATTTAAAAAATAAATGAAAAAAATATTGTAAAAAAACGTTTTAAAAAGTGAAAATTGTTTATGTATCGTTAAAACGTTATATCATGTTGAGATTTTTTGAAAAAAAGGCGGTGCATGGTAAAGCCAAATTTGATTATTGGAGATCAAAATGCTGGACGTGGTCACTTTTGTTTAGTATATAGATTACTAGAATTTTTAGATTCATTTAAACGAAAGTCGCTCGGAACAAAGACGATTTTACATTCTAGTGTTGACTCCCATGTTTTTTGAGATACACTCTTTTTTACGCCTCATACTTGCGTCGTTTTTTAATGAATACAATAAAGACGACTTTTAGTTTTGATTTCTACCAGGCTTTCATACAGAAAGACACATAAACATAATCAAAGAGACGCCTTCAATTTAAAGGAAAATAATCTTCGTCTAAATATATTTTTATTTCTTGTTTTAAAATATACTGGGTAAGATGTGCACAGTGATCCAAAGTTGCAATCCTTCAAGCAAAAATAGATCAGTTTGACAATCACTTTTAAAACTAAATCCAGAAAAAAGCGTTTCATAGTTATAAAAGGTACATGTAAACTGTCAAGGGTTACACAAAAGTAAAGATGAGTTATTTTCAGGTAAAATTAAAGGCCAAGGCGTTGCACGCGACACCCCCTTAAAAAATACTATATAAAGTTCTTAATATTTTAGTTTATTTACCAATTTTACCCGAATACATTTCCATTCATTTGAAGATAATATGCTTAAGCAGTGAATAAGAGCTGGTTTTAGAAATAAATGCTTGAATAGAAAGTATTAAAATAAGCGTCAACCACAGAATAAAAATAAGAATAAATTTGAAAAAGTTGACCTTGCTGGTACCTCCCCCCCCCCTTCCCATCATACCACCGTGGGGTCCTATATACCCTGTGGGTTGAAAGGTGAAAAATAAACAGTTTCTTGGCATGTTGTAATTCCGCAGGTGTCATGTCACATCCCGTATTAGATATATAACCTATAGGAGACCTTAACGTCGGGCACGCGACGCAAATGCCAGATGCAACGCGTCAGTTTACGAATATTTCTGTAATATTATGCAGATAGTGGATGGCACATGAAAGTTCCGGGTTGGGGGAGGAGCCTAGGGGGGGGGGGAAGGGTGCTGGTAGCCAAATTCGGAAGTTTGGATGAAATTAGATTTTAATCAAGTTGAGCCGCAGGGGTGGGCCCATAATATTTATGAGCAGCAGATACATACTAAGAGAGAAATACAAAATTTAGGCGAAAGAATAAGTTTTTTAACAGAAAAAAAATTCTCAAAATCAGAACCCTTATGTGAACAAAAACCATTGGTAATTTCCTAGAGCACAATGTTAGCCCTCCCCCGGGCCTCCCCTTCCCCTCCCCCTATTATCAATTTTGTACATGGATCTCATATGTAATACATCGATATCATTAGTGATGGGGCCTTAAACTAAGCATGGGTCAAAATAAAAAATCAGGTAAAAAACCCGTTTTGCAGCCTTTTGGGTTCAGGACTTAAGGCATTTAGTGTTAAAGCTTTTAAAAGTAATTAAATGGTATGAACAGCCTCAGACGACTAGTTTTTGACTTATAAACAGGAATATAGGGCTATGGTTGAAATGAACAAAACCACCGATGATTATCTGGGGGTTTTTACTCAGGCATAAAGGGACTGCTTTTCATTTACATACGAATTTAGATTATTAAAACTCGGTTCAATTCAACTTGTATCTGCAGTAGTTGTCAACGACTTTTCTCTTTCTATGTAATCTTAGGAAATACATTATTCAAAATACTATGGAAAAAGACCGGTCGGAACGAAATTCTCTTTTTTTTTCTTTGGTAAAAATAATCATAAAATTTGTCCAGTGGTCGATACTGGATAAAAATGAAGTCGCAGCTGCAGCCTCACGAGTTTAAAATATGTTGAAGTTTGGCGTTGAATTTTTTCATGCATAATTGATTAAACAATCTGATTTTTCATGTTTACATTTCCGGAATTTTCATTCAGTTACAGAAAGCATTTTATGAATTTAAAAGTAAACAGTTGTGAAGTTATAAGCTTTTAGCTTAGTTTTACCAATTAATGTACATATCTTTAAAGTGTAGTTTCGCAATTTTGCTCGAAGTTTCGCATCATTTGCGTTACGCGTATCAATACGAAACCAGTTTTGCACAAAATTGCGCATTCATTAGAAATAAATTTTTTTGTATGCACGAAATTTCGGATTAGTATGAAATTAAGTTATAATTTTGCATTGCATTGCGCATGAATACGAAATTAAACACGTTGAAAGACCTAAAAAAAAGATAAGAAAATGTGTGTTTAAACATATTGACGTTATTTCAAGTTACCGTCAAGTTACCCTTAAATAATTTGTTTAGTAAAAACTTAAAAGAATTCGTTTTTGGTTTTGTTTATAGGACATGCCAGTTTAAACATGAAGGGTGGATAGAAATTATGTTGTCTTCAATTGTATATTTGAGATTTGTTCCAAACCAAAGTCATAATTAAAATATTACCCAAATTTTCTAATTAAACAACACATTTCAAAAATGTCCCTGGGGGAGGGAATTCTTGAAAAAAAATTAATAAATGGTGTTAATATGGTATTTTCTTAACACTTACTAAATAACTAATAAACACAATATGTTCGGTTGATCCTAAATTGCTCTAGCCTATAAGTATACCTTATGTATCCCCAATAAAATCATATAACGTTTAACTTGTTTATGCACATTTTATTCATATCAAATATACATACTTAACAAATCATTCTGTTATATTAGCCAAGTGTTAATAACTATGATCCTATCTAGGATCATGAGTTTGGTCATGGATGGGATCCCTCAGGAACTCAGCATCAAGACGCTTAATCTTAAAGATCATTACCAATGTGTCTTCGAGTCCATTCATCGACACCTTGTCCTTGTGGTGCTCCCAGGGGTAGTTCCTCCACCGGTTCTCTATGAACACCTCCAGATCATGGATCTGCCTATAGAGGCGTATGATGACATCTTCCTAGGTGGTGTCTGGTATATCTAGTTCCTTTGACCAAAGGTTCCATGGAGGCTCCATTCTGTTCACCCACGAATCAAAGGACCGAAGTGATTTCTCAGTATGATCCTTGAGAGGCTGGAGGGTGTCCTCATCCTTGGAGCTCCTGTCCACAGCAAGCAGTTTAACTCCATCTTCTACCTGAGCAAGGGCCACTGAGCCTGATGGTCCAGGTGCATGAATTCTACCTTCATCTTCTGTAGAATGATCAGTGTTCCCGTCCTCAGCTGCATCCTCGTCCTCTGCTGGAACTGTAACAATGGGAGCTGAACTACTCTCCACTGGGGCTAAGTCCAGAGAATCAATCTCCCTCTCATCTTCATCCTCATGACTTCCAAGGTACGCTGGGTTCCTCATCATCCATACCAATCTACTCATCTTCAAGGGGACTCACTGTAACTAAAGAATATCCTGTGCACTGTATGTAGCACAGGACCCAGAGCGGTAATGTGCAGGAGACTTATGTCTACGCTACGGCTCGGGTTGTATATCTAGATCCCTCTGTGTATCTAAGGGACTTTTCTGAACCAGTCCCAAATACAACATTAAAAAACTTTAGAAGATGGGGGGGGGGGGGGATCGGATGGAGGTGTGGGCTCTCATTGGTTTAATTTCATTCATTTTTTTTCTGGATTTGTTTCCCGAAATATAACGAAATAGAGCTCGACATAAAGAAATACAAAATTCTTTAGTTATTTGCCGCAATAGCTTTTGCGAACCATTGCACAATTGCAATTATTTGAAATTTCGTGCAATTTTTACTCTAAAATAATCCTTTGCGCAATTATTGCACGATTTTCGTGCAAAATTTCTTGATTTAAAACCCTAGTTTAAACCGACTATATTTTTCCTGTTTAGTTTAATATGTGGATAAAAAAAAAGTCAGCTATTCATTCACTGAGGACTACTGTAAAGCAATCAATTTGTTGTTTTCATTTGGATTGATGAGTTCATTAATATTTACCAATCTGTTTTTGCTGGCGTTCAAATCTGCGAATAATTGTTTACAATCAGAATTAAACAAACCTATCAGGAGAAAAAGTTGGTAGAAAAACTATTTACTTTAATGAGATGTTGTAAAATTTATTTATTTTAAATACACTGACTAGATGAATATATAATCTTATGCAAATATTTAAACAAATCACAGACCGTGCGGAAAACTTGCATTTTATAGTTTGCAGATAATTATGGCAGCTTTTTGAACTTTTTTTCACGGATCCCAAATTTTACATCTTTTCAGGTTCACATTTTTTAGCGTCAGAACTGTTTTTCGCTTTGTAACTTTTTCACCATTCATCAATGTTTATTTTGTGCAACTAGCCTAGACCAGGGTTTGTATGTTCAATAATACACTTTCTGCAATACTTCTTTACGTTTCTGTAACCTTCTACTGTAACTCCCATTACATCCTAGATACATAGATATTGTTAATACATTACATATTAAGTATACCCCAGATATTATTTCAAAATTGAAGTTAAATTGAATAAGTAGGAAGATAATTTTAGAATGAAGAAGTAACAATGTGCTTGTAATTTTACTTTAATTTAATTTGTTACCTGTATATTAAGCTGCTGTAATCCCCTGCAGTAATATGCTATATTGATCAATCCTTGATCAGTTACCATCTCGCAACCGCGGACACTCAGCTTCTTTAGGTTGGGACAGTTGACCGACAAGTCCCGGAGACCAAGGTCAGTTACGTCGCACTTCCCAATGTCGAGGGAACGTAGTCTCGAGCAGGACTTGGACATTGCCTCCACAGCGAGGTCGGAGATACGCTCACATCCTCGCAGGTTCAGGTATCTTAATGATTATTATTACTATTATTAATATTATTGTTTTAGTATTATTATTTCAGTAATTATTGTTATCAACATTGTTTTTAAGCATTATCACTCTGGATTTCGTCATCACAGTTTTCAAAATATTTACCTAAGTTTATAGCAGTGTCGGACCAACTGTTTAACCCCAGTGTCGGTCAATTGGTGACATTTCGCCACAGACAAGTATCTGAAGAATAAAGATTAAGATTGAAGAAGAAAAATTACACGCGCAGCGCAAACGTAAATCGAATGAACATATTCATTCGTTTATATTTTTAGTTAAAAATATGTTGTTCGTTAATGAATATTCTACAGTTTGGGGGGGGAATAAAAGGACTTCTTAACAACCTGATATGATCTGATTTGAATTTTGGATATTTATTGAAATGTTAGAAACTTTCATTACCTTAAACTGGGACCAAGCTTTGCTAGTTCTGCTAAACCAGAATCAGTAATCCTGGAAAATTCGGCAAATATTTTAACTTTACGAAAGAAATCTTTTTCTAAGACGTAATTTTAAGTGACCCTCTATTCATGTCTGATGCACAATGGTACCCTTTACATCTTGATCGATCAGAAATTATATTTTTTTCTAGCTGGTGTCCCAAAAAACCTGGAAATTAAAAGACGACATGAAAATCGTTTTCGCTTTCTGTTAAATTATGAATGACAAATTCATCACGTCTCAGGCGCTTTTTAAACTTTCTTGTATTTTGAAATTGACGGATATATTAAATATTTAAAAATTTTGCTGTTCTTTTATGAATTGGAATCTGGACCTTAAAAAGTCAATTGTGAAGATGCAAAATTGGGAGACAACTTTTGGATTACTGAGACTAGCTGTCTTCACTGTTAAATGTTTTATCTGGAATACTATTAAAGGAGCCTCGCGAAACAAAGATGATATAGAAGTCGTCACTTAAAATCCATGTATATTAGACACTCTGTAGGTAAAAATAGATAACTTCAAACTATTTTGATTTCCTAATCAGAAAATTCCAATTTAATTCCAAAATTTCATTATGATATCTAAATTAAAACAGAATCAACTTAGTTTCAATATGGCCGACTTTCCTAGAGCAATCAGATATACTGAGCTCTCTCAGCATTAGGCAGTATGAAGCAACATACTTTAGGCTGGTATCTGAAATATTCATAGATAAAATACACTGAATTTTAATCCACAGTAATCTTATTCTTAAACTTAGAACGTATGTAAAATATTTTGGGGATATTTTCATTAATTGTCTTTAAAAATTTTAAAATATTAATTTACATACATGAATCAAGTACCTGTAAGATTACTGCATCTTCTCAAAAAAAGATATTGTATTTGAGGACAGTTCTCTACCGCTAAACGAACACTGGTATCGTCCACACCGTTACAGTCACTTAGATCCAGATACTCAAGGGCTAGGCTTGGTCTAGGCTTCGAGGGATGCACCGGTAAACTTACTGTGGTCACCATAGGACATCCTAAAATAAAATAATTAAAATATTGTTGGATTTATCTGCGTATTTTTATTATTGTCTATATCACAGAGGGTTAACTTCTTAGTTTCATGTTCCTGAATTGCACAATGGCAATAAATTATCTCACGTTTTGCAAAAATGACAATTTTAACTGCCTCTTAATTTTTCTTTTGTCAAGGGGTGCATGTACTATACTGTAACATGTATACATGTACTTGGTACAATAATACCGACTATGCTTGCAGATTATGATACGCAAATAAGTCTTTTTCTTGATTATCTGTTATTTATGATATAATTATTAAAATTTAAAAATTACCAAATACGAGTTGAGATGTTTGTAAAAGTTTTTCATAGATAAAATAATTAACTTAAAAATTTAGTGGATTTCCTAAAACCCAACATTTTAAAAATTATCTCTTATTGTCTAGTACAAGTTTTTCATACCACCACAAATATAAATTGAGGCATTGAAATAACCGGGTTTTTCTTTTAAATCTTGCTTTGAGTAAGTTTGACTCCCTCCCTTTCGATCGCGTATTCCTCCATTTAAAGAGTTCGGATTCCTGAGTGCGTAGCTACTTAAATTCAAGGGATGTGGTGATATAGAGACCCCCTGTCGTTCTTCTGCAGACTTCCAGCTGTTAAGCCCCTTTTTATATCCTTCACGAACTGACCCTCCTCCTCCCTTCACCCCCCTTCTTTACCTCCCCACTCCCGCCTTAGTTTTTGCTGTTGCCGTTAAATTAATTGAAATCCAAGATATTATAATTTATAATCATTATAAATCTTGATGATCTTGTTACTTGTTTTATCTCTGCCACTAAAGTGAAACCTATACCTTTAAATTAGATCCAGAAGAACCAACCAAAATTAGCTCTAGCTGCATTCTTAGAATCGATTTAATTTTTCCTTTATAGACAAAATTTGCACTGTAATTTTTTCCCCTCCTTGCCTCTTTTATTGTCCCACTCCAACCCTTATTCTCTCCTCAGGTCTCTTAATGGATCTCTTCCTTCCTTCCTGCATCCTTCCTTAAACTTGTTATGTTTCTGGAGCTCTAGCTAGACTGCCAAAGCTTTATCCTCTCTGATCAACCTTTTATCTCTTGGCTGTCTGGCTACCTTTCCTCCATGTCCAACACCTTTTATTCTTCCATCCCTTCTTTGTCTCTGGTTGCCATTAAATGAAATACTGCTGTGCTTGAAGGCTCAAGCCTAAACCCTACAATACATTTGTTCAAAGTCCAGATATATTTGCAAATACAACTGATTCTTCGGAGGTTTAGGAAAGAATCAAGTGAAACAGTTACAGCGAGACCCATACAATTATGTTATTGGAAGACGACATTTAATCATTATTTTTTTGTACTTTATGATGGAATTAAGCAAGTAGTTTTACCAGTATGCTTGAAAATGAGCTAGCTTATTAAGTTATGTGTACACCGTAAAATTGCTATGTTTTTTTTGTCACAGCTTTAGTTATTCGTCTTCTTATTCTACAGTTTTATGGGTCTCACTGTAGTCAATATTTGTTTCCGCTACACTATTCATTACTTTTTACAATGGGGGCTTTCACAATATTTTCAAACCTTTGAAACTATTTTTTAATAACCTTAGTTCTCTAACCAACTAAATTAAGTTTAAGGTTGCAGAAACATATTTTGCTTCTTAATTTACGGTTCCGATAACAAAATTAATTCACAATCTGTAATTGATAATTGCACATTTAAAATTACTAAAATTGTATTTATATTGTTTCAAAAAAACTGAGAGACATTTTTGAAAAATAAATAGCTAATAACTCTCAGTCAACACGAGAAAACAGTTCACAATTTTTTAATTGTTACACGGCCCCTGGTCCATAGAGTGCCGAGGAGCATTAACCTCTACCTGTGTATATTGAGAGGGTTACCTTCACTCTAATCTATTTATATCATGCAATATCCAATCAAATTCGTCGCGTTTTTTTTGCATTAAAGGCTGTCTTAGAATATATTTTAAATTTAAAATATTCAACACTAGAGTCTAGAAATATCTTTTTTGATGAACTCACCTAAAACACATTGTAAAATCCTTTTTCTAAATATCACCCAAATATTTAAAAAGTATAGTTTTTAATTGCCTTGTGTTTTCTGGAACACAATTTACAATCAGAAATTACTCTTAGATTATACTGTCTAATCAAAGAGGAGAGAGAAAAAAAGGTGGGATAAGAGAGCTAGGAGAGGGGNATATTGAGGTGTGAAAGAAAATGTAGAGGAATAATGAAGATAATTCAATGTGCATTGAGCAATGTAATACCGGTCGATTGCATGGTAATTTCATTCCTATTTATATTTATATATGTTAAGGGTTTGAATTCCATACCAGCAAAACCCACAAACGAATTTTACAGATAAAATAAATACACGAACAAATGTAAGCAACGACCAAAGCCTCTCTATCGTCTTATATAGAAAGTATTTAGGCCTAAAGTTGGCTTAGAATGATATTGATACTTGATAAAGTGATACATTGGTATTTTAGGGTGGGGCGAAACAGCAATGGTTCTACTCTACTACGTTGCGGTACGCCCAAGAATATACACATGAAAGATAGAGGTAGAAGATTTCTTAAACACCTCAGGCATGTTCGGTCCAAACTAATTGTAGGGTTTAAATTTCAAAAAAGATTTCATGCTATATCAAATCCTTCATATCACAACTGTTTTAAATTTGATGTTATTTTAGGAAATGTAGTGTTCGTTTTAAATTCAATAATTCTTTTTAATTAAAACAATATTCATGATACAAACAGAGCACTGTAAAAAACATAACCCTTTATGCGTTAAGTTCTTCTACAGTTACATTTGGTTGTATAACTAACTATGCAAAGCAAAAATATGCCACAGGGTGTTAAAAAGTTGAACCAAGTATGAACAAATTACCAACCGCATAAAGTTTATGCTTGCAATTTATGTTGTAAAAAGCATGAAATTCAAGAGACTCCCTTTGATTACGATTTACCAATATGTGAATTTAAATAAACAACCAATACTTATTTTAAAATCCTTTTTTACTTTTATACTTTTGATCTTCCTCCTATCTGTTTTCCCTCACTAGCCTTAGAGGGCGCTTCGCGCCCATCTTCTAAATTAATTTTGAATATGTTCTCTTTGTGTACATCGTAAAACAAAACAAAAATAATTCGCGGATTTTCACAAAAAATTTCGTGGATTTTCAAAATTTTCAAAAATTTAATGAAGATCGAATTTTGATGGAGACAAATATTTGAAATTTTGATCATTCATAAACCTTCCCTGTGGTCACGTGTCCCACAAAAAAATTGGGCCCGATCGGTTCAGCCGTTTTGACGTTTATTGGATACAAACAGACAGACAAACACCAAAACAAACAGACAGACAAGCCAAATTTATTTATAGATTAGTATTGAAGTTTTTGGCAGAAAACAAAGCAATTAAAATTCTCAAGTTTGCCTTTCCATCCTAGGTGCAGGTATTTTTGCCCTTTACCCCACCGAGGGGAGGAAGGCCAACCACATCAATCTTTAGTACGAACCACATTCTCCTCAGTTTCTCGTCCGAACCACCTCGAAATCCTCGTCCTTTCAATATTATTTTTATAAAGTGTCTAATCAGATAAAACTATTTTTAAAGAATCGGGCCACGTTAGGGCATAAATGAAATATCAAATTTTTGTAAATCGAAAAAAAAGTTTCAATTGAATTAAAGATTTCAAGTTTAATGTCTTTAAAAATGTTCACCTTTTTTACGCGCATTTTCAGATATTCCTGGTGTAATGCCGCAAATAATTCCAAGTTTATAGAACTTCAATCTTTTTTGTTAACTAGTGAAAACCATAGAATTTTTCCGGGTGGTTCCATGGGGAAAATTATAGGCAGAGGTATGCCGAATATTTTGCTATTTTTTTCATATCACGAAGGTTAGCCATTACGGAGGCAGAAGAGATTTAAATTTTACCTAAATAAAGTTTGACATCATTCTCATGGGTTTGAAGATTCCAACATGATATAATCATTGCAATATTTTAGTCCATCCATATTTTATGCCCTAACGTGGCCAGATTTTTAAAAAATAGTTTTATCTTTAAGAATTGGAAACTTTTTAACACAAAATAATCAAAGGACGAGGATTCCGAGGTGGTTCGGACGAGAAAATGAGGAGAATGTGGTTCGGACTCGAGATTGATGTGGTTGGCCTTTATCCCCTTCCCCACCCCACCCCCTCCACTTCTTCTATCTTCGATCAATCAATGTATCCATTTCTGTTTTGGCAGAAGGTTGGCGCTCAGTGCGCAGGAATAATATTGAACCATATTTTCATTTACATACCGGTGTTTTAGACAGGCTTATTGGTAAGGGTGGGGCACGGTGGGGTATTTTAGTGGGTCAGGGGGGGGGGTGACTGGTTTTTGTCACAATATTCCTCTTAAAATGCATTTGTCTTGTGTTTCATGGTGAGAATATCTCAAAATGAATATATTCTGATAATCTTTTCATTTACAAACATTATATCATTAAAGCTTGCATTGGTGTATAATGATTTCAATTTATAATTACTTTTCCCGTTCATATATCTATCCTTGAATGGATCCTGTAAACCCGCAATATATTTGGATGTCGTCTTTGTTACAGCGAGCTATTTCGAAATACAAGAAAGCACAGCGGTTTCGGAAGAATCTAAAAATATTCAAACATCCATATAGAAAAGATTTAGAGGGTTCGGCAGCACGCCAAACCCTTGATTTAGTCAGAGTAGCTTGTTGAAAAATCCTATTTTAAAAGTTTTCAATGAAATAGCGGGTTTTCGGTCGAAATTCGTATCTTAAACATAACATTTAAACAACTTACAAACTCATTTTTGCTGACCCCCCTTAATACCCCACTGTGCAGGGGGAGGGAGGGAGGGACGGAGGGGGGGGCAAAGAAAAAAGTCCAAATTACCAGGAACTTGTATGATGCCGGGTAGAAAGGGGTGGGGAA